TGTCAAGAGATGATGAGGTTTTGGAGAGAAGCGAATAGATAAATGTTTAAAAGGCTTTAATGTGTGCGCTCGACAGGACGCGTCGTTTATTGGATGATATTTAATAACAATAGACGCACAATATAAATGAGTACAAATGATATATACGGGGAGTCTCTGTCTATATGTGTATATATATATATGTGTGTGTGTACTGAACTGTATACAAATATATGGTTCAGAGAAATAAATACCCCCAAAAGAAGCGAAAATCCCTTTTACCTTTACTTTAAATTCAGTAATTATAAAAATATACAGGTTGTGTTTTAGATTTTTCTACGCTCCAAATCTGACTTTTCTACATTAATATTATTCCACGTGCCTAAAATCCCACATTCACACAGACTCTAATCTGTTATCCGCTAATCCAATTTACGGATAATAAAAATACAAAAAAATAAAATAATAAAAAATACATTTTTTCTTTATCATTGTTTGGTTCTGACAATATGTTTTAATTCTTGTTTCACAGCCATGAAATTAGTCAAAGGTTAGTCGTGTGTTTGCCAGAGGCTGGAACAATACTTATAACAAACATGTTTGGCAGAATAATACACGCGTGCGTCTCTCTCTCTCTCTCTCTCTCTCTCTCTCTCTCTCTCTCTCTATCACACACACACACACACACTTGGTGTCTGGGTGCAGACTGTGTCAGGATGATTAGCACCGTCTCTGCCAACTGTGATGTGGCTTTTTGTGCACTCACTGTAATTATCGCTGATTTCACAGATTTACGTCCCTCCCTCCCCCGTTCTCACCTCTCTGCTCTTACTCACTTACAGCCGAAAGGCTGCCAGTTTACCTCATCTTCTTCAGCTGGATCATCATCATCATCATCACGCTATATTGGATTCGGTGTGTGTGTGGGCGTGTGTGTGCATGAAGGGTGTCCAATCAATCAATCAATCAATCAAGCGATCAATAAGTCAGTCGGTTAATTGATCAGGGATTCAGGCAGTGGTTTAGTCAGGCTCCCAGCCATCCCCGTGTCTGTGATCCTCAACCCCTTGACTGTTGCTGTGTTGCTTGGAGCCAAAATGGAGGCTGTATTTCGTCATCCTCCTCCTCCTCCTCCTCGTTCAGTGTGTGTTAAATACCATTGCTCTCATCGCGGGGAGCCCTGTGAGCCACGCTGCTTCTGCAGCATGTGGATGTAATCCCTAAGCAACGCTCTGTCGAGGGAAGCCAGAGAATTTCCATAAAAAACGTAGCCTACAGTTAGATGATTGTTCTCCATAAGCAGGTGTCGCCTATGCTGCTGGAGCTCAGAGAGCACAGCCTAAGTGGTTTTAGGTGTGTGTGTGTGTGTGTGTGTGCACCATTCTGTGTGTTTTTGTTAATCTGCAGCACAGTGGGACTCTGCCTCTGGTGTAGCCTCGTCACTGTGAAACATACATCATTATGCAGCAGTGATGCACGGGGCCAAACAGGATCTGGTTGTGTGTTTCTAATGCACACATTCTTCCATATGGCGGGTGAAATGTTGCACTTTTTCAAACGCTGCCTGTTGTTCTCCTGCAAAGACTCAGGCTCATTGAATGAAGTTTAGAAGCGTTTTAAACTTTGACTTAGGATTGTGACTATTTTAACATGTGCTGTGATGTACCACCCCCCCCCCCCCCCCCCCCCCCCCCCCTACTGTATATACTGCAAATACTGTATATATGCTCTGCAGATACTGCCAGACGGATTCAGTTTTATTAGAGAAAAGATCAGGTCGAAAGGCATTTTTCTTATTCTTTTTTTTTTTATCTGAAAAAGAAAAATGGTAAAAAAAAAATGGAGCCTTTCAGCGTTTTACCTTTTAAAGGAGTCTGTGTTAATTTGATATCTATTGTAAGCATGTCCCCTTTGAATACACACACAAAAAAATAATTTTTCCACCAGAGTGAATCACAGCCAGATAAAGTCCCCAGTGTTATCATGTACACTCTGCCAGTGCTAAACTGATCTCTTCTGTGTATTCCTGACAATGTGTTGGCAATTTTCCACTAGTTTCACCCTGGGAAGTTCCTCTTGGTTCAATGTGACCACAGATGGAATTTTTGTTCTCCCCATTTTAGCATCAGAATCCAGGGAACGGTGTAGCAGATATGAGCCAGAGGTTGTTAAAATCGCTGAAAATGTTGATTTATGATTTACTTTCTGCCAAACGTTGTCATTAAATTGTGTTGTTAGTTTTAGTCTTTAATTTTAGTAAGTTGAGCATGAAATTTGTGGGTTTTGAAAATGTTCTGTTCAACAGTCAATATTGTGTCGCAGTGTTTGGGTCCAGCACTGTCTGACTGACTGTCTTTGTTTACGTTTGTGTGTCCTGTTCAGGTCTGGTTCCAGAACAGAAGATCCAAAGAGCGACGAATGAAGCAGCTGAGTGCTCTGAGCGCCCGGCGACACACGTTCTTCAGGGGGCCACGCAGGATGAGGTCCCTGGGAGGTCGGCTGGACGACGCAGACATTCTGGGACCTGCGGCCTACGGATACTATGGAGGTAAAATGGAGCTTAAAGTTGATCCAAATGTGTGGATGAGGTTAAAGAACCACAGAGAATACAATTATACTGTTACAAGAACAGGCACTAACTCAAAGACAATAGTTTTTTCAGAATTATTTGTAGTTATTGTCAACATCATTATACAAAGAAAACTTGAAACTTGAGTGAAAAATCCTAGAAATAATCCACCATCAGGAGATTAGGAATCCCATAATAGCAGTTTAGGGGGATTATAATGGTAAAATAAATACATTAATAAAAAAACTAAATACAAATAAATCTGCTCCTGTTAGTTAATGAAAGGATAGTTCTCAAAATAAAACATTAATTAACATTAATATCATTTGGACTTGAAGCTTTTAATTCCTAATAAAAAAGCTGTTTGGCCGTTTCTTTACGAACGGGACTTTTCCTGGTCATAAAGTTCACAGTCATAAACAATTGTTGAGTGTAAACAAAAAAAAACAACAATCCAGTATTTTTATTAGAAGTATACTGTATCCATGTAACCTTATAAATATTCAGCCTAGAGAACAAATCTTAAACAAACAAAACCATACAGACTGTTACAAAAACCACCTTAAAAACAGTAGCTCCATAATTATTTATTTTAGTGTTTAGTGAGAAAGAGAAAAAACACAGCAACACATGTTGGTTTAAGGAAAAACCACTTCAATCACTTCAAGCAAATAATTCAAATGTAACCACTTTGTGAAAAAAATTTTTTTTTTCACATTGAACTGTGGAAATGTGACAGTAGCCAGTGGCAGATGATAACATAATACTGAGGCCCATGTTGAGTGGAGGCTGAAAAGCAGGTGCAGCTATCGTCTACATGGACAGCCTGTTTCTGAGGAGCTGTGTTTTTCACACAGCCTCAGCCCATCTACCTGAAGGCTCTCTGTGTTGAGGATACAATAAACTCCAGCCATCAAGGCTCNGGGGGGGGGGACAAAACCGCACCCTCATTCTCATCTATCTTGCTTTCTTTGCACATTGCTTTTCACACCCTTTTGTGATGGAGCAGCAGCAGCAGCAGCAGCAGCACAGGGCAGTCTGCTCCTTTATGTGAGGCTGCTGCTTCCTTATGTTCAATAAACGGCGGCGGCTGCGGCTGCTGCTGCTGCTGCTGCTGCTGCTGCTGCTGCTGCTGCTGCTGAGGCTGAGAGGGAGGGATGCTTCTGTGTGGTGTGGTGCTTCTGCATGTGTGAGTGTAATTATAGCTTGACAGGCACACACACACACACTCACACACACCCGCAGCCGTCAGTCCACGCTTGTTGGTAATTCTCAAGGTCGGCAAAAACTAGCAGGGGCCTGTTTGTGAGATGAAATAATTAGGTTGTTTGCTAAAGTCATGTCACCTCCTATTGTTTCTTCTGCTAATATCCGATAGCAATGTGCTACATAAATAAATACAGTCGCTATAATTGGGCTACACACACACACACACACACTATTTCTCATCTTCTAACCCGTGAGGTCCCAATTTCTCCTGCGAAATAAGGGTGAGAAGAGCATATGGTGGGGGAGGAGAGAGGCGACAGCAACATCTGGGCCACCAGGATAAAGTCAGCCATCGATCTGAGCCGAAGGTGGTTTCCAAACAGAGCAGATTGAGTGTGATTGGGGAAGAGTGACGCAGCGTGAGATGTAAATTTAGTGAGGAGCATATGGAAGTAGCGGGTTGCAGGAAGAAGGTGGAGACTTGATGTAAACAGTGTGAGAACTAGCTGGCTGCATGTGGAGGAAATCAACCCCGTGTAGCCTGTAGTGGGTGGAGGTTTACTGTTAAACAAATAGTTGTTGGAAGCCTTTGTTGCTTATGTTTACTGCTATGTTCAATCTTTGCAGTTTACAAAAATAATTTGGAATTCTTAAAATATGGCTGTGCTGCTCCAGGTCATTATCTTAATTCGTTGGAATAAAATTTAATTGTGATTTCGTTCAGTGGATTAGCCGCACCGTGAGATTATGTTCAAATGATGTTTTACGACTTAAATTAAATGCCTCATTGAAAAATGACCAACTCACGTGAAACGTAAGGACACGTTGGAACAGCAGGTAGAGAAAAAAACAAAATAAATATTAGTGTAAAATACAATTTATAGTTCAACCATTTGGAACTGTTGGTGGGAAAATGAAATTTGAAGTTTTATAAATTTGCCAAAATCTTCATATGTAATCATGAAAATAAGAACTTCTCCAAACTTAGCTGAGAAGATTTTTTTATAGACCAGTATAGAGAACACGTTGTGGCTTGTGATGTGATGATGATGTTAAAGCAGTGATTTTACATTCTGCTGTGTTTATGTATCTTTAAACATTTAACTTTTGCTTCCAGTGTCAATTTACCAAAGACACGTTATGATTTACCAGAACAAACCTGTGATCTTCCTCACACACGGGTGAGGAAATACGGGGAGAAAGTTAGAGAGCTGACACATTTTCAGTTTTATTTTCTAAAGAGGCTATACAGATTCCTGGGCACTTTGCTTCAACCCTGTAACATGAATGACCTGCATTTAGGTCTTCAGCGTTCATGGGAGAAACATTGAAAAGGACACGTGTAGATGAACAGCAGAAGGTTTTTAAAGCATTAAACCCAATAACAAATGAGCAGAGATAAGGTTTACAGATGGTGGATCAGGATAACAGTGGGGTTTTTTTCACTACATGTGACACTAATCTTTTTCTTAAGAATTGTATGCAGCAAGGTTCGGGGAGACGGTATTAAACTCATCACTTATCGACTTCTTGTACAGAAGTTCGAATCCCTTTTTATTTCCTTATCACGCTTTCTTTCTTTTTCAACATAATTACGCCATGACAGCGCTTTAGTCAGGATTCCTGTAAGAATATAATTAAATAATTAAAAAAATCGTAAGGTAAAAAAAAAGTTATGCGTGAAATCATCCCTGCTATGCTGTGAAACTCCGGAGAAATTATTTAAAGAATGATATTTTTTTTCTTCTTCATGGATGATGGTGTAGTTTTGGCAAAAAGGTCTTTGGCTGTAGAGTGGAGCTGTCTTTTCTCCTGATGGAGTCCAACATAGGGCTCGTTTACTGAGGACAGTACGAGGACAGACGGACTGGACGTCTTTGTGTCTTCTGCAAACACTTGTTTTCATACGAACAGTTGTGGTTTTGGAATACTGTCTCCACAAATAGACTCTGGTCAGTCCATCTGTCCTGCTTCTTGATGTAGGTACTTCTGACAGTGAGATGTGTTTTAGAAACACGGTGAGAAGTTAAAGGCTCAGACCAGGCAGGGTTTTCTCAGATTCATTTCTGATCCCTTTCAGTTTTATCCATTCATGTGACTTCCTTTAAAAAGTTTCTATCAATAAAAGCTGTGAAATAGAAGACACTGCAGATCACAGGCGTACAGTAGAACAGAATTTTTGTTTTGTTTGGTTTTACAGTAGAGAAAAATATTTGGTGGACGGAGTCTGACTCTGGTCTGCGGATCATTTTGGTTTTGGCTGAAACTGTGGGAACAGTATTTTATGACTGCACCGTGTAGAAGCCACAACTCTGCAGTGATGTTAAAACTGTAATATAATATAATATAATACAGTACAATATAATGTTATATATTGTACTGTATAATTATTGAACACATATTCTATATTTGCACAGTAGTACACTGAGGAGAAATACACCCGTTTCATTTCTGTGAAGTATTTAGTTGTACTTTGTGTTGCCCTGCGTTTCTCTGAATATTGCGTTCTCCTGCACTTTCCTTTGTTTGTGTTTTCCTCGTGTGAAATCGTAAAACGTCACGTAACTAACACTAATTTACAAACTGACTCTTTTGGTCGGTGTGTGTGGATGTTTACGGCCGTTGCCGTAGACCCTATGGATCTGCTGACTGTGCTGTCACAGCAGAGCTCGACTGGTATGAAAAGCTGCAGATGATTCCACACAGTCGGTGTAAATAAGACGCAGCAGCAGCAGCAGCGGCGCAGCCACAAGCTGAGAGCGTGAATCAGAGGTGCTGCTGTCACCGTGCCGAAGTGCACGAACACTGGAGCCAAGTTTAATTAAAAGAGGAAAAAACATTGGTTGAAAAGCATCAAAAGTGAAAACTTATGCGACTGACTGATCAAAAATAAAACACAATTTGTATTTGATTTTTTTTATGTTTATATTCTTCTACTTTTACTTTAACTTCTGCTAATTAAACTGAAATGGAATAGTTATGATTTAATTCAATCAGATTTTCCACAGGGTACCTTAGAATACTTTTTTAATTTATCAATTAATCTTGATAAATTAGGATAAATTCAAATATATATATGTATTTTACATATATATATCAATATATATATGTATTCTACATATATAAAAATATACATGAAACGTGTATAATGCTGGAAGAGGAGGACACAGTGAAGCAGGTAGATGTCTGTGTTTCACACCTGTTGTTATTTGTTATTTGAGACTAATACAAATGATGGGATTATTCATATGGAAACTTCCAGAAAACTATAGAAATAAAAATCATCATCTAGACGATGATGATGTAGATCGTGTCAGGAGTGAAGCCGTCGTCCTCATCTATAATAATCAGTCGGCAGTTTTTTCACCATCCATCACATAGTTGGGTCAGTCAGTTTGTCAGTCAGAGAGTTATTTTCTGCCCTGCTCCAAATGAGGCTGCTCTGAAACCAGCTGGACCTCTGAACCGGACCTGAAGTCTCCGCAGACACACGTCGGGTGTTGAGAGGGTGTTTAAAGCTTGAGGTTCTTTATGAAACTGGATTTTCTGACTGTGTGTTAAAAAGTGTTTACATTTTTAATCTCCAGTGATTAATCAGACTAATATGTTAATTTTGAGAGCCAAAGACAAAACGCTTTTGTTTTTATGCTATTATGCTAGCTGATGCTAGTTAATACTAAGTGATATTTTAAATCAGGACGGAGCCCAGGCCCAGGGGAGACTAAAAAATAATGCTGGGAGCTGCATCAGCTGTGACCTGAGGTAGAACTGACATGACCTGGTGCTGAGGCTGAAATCTCATTCTGGAGTTCCTCATCCAAATCCACAAGTTCCAGCCAGGGAATCTATTGAGGCGCATGCATGGCTGCGGTCGGAATGACTGAGACGGAGATGAATGTAGTGTGTAAAAGGCGAGTGAACTGAGGTGGAGAGGTGTGGAGTTGTTTATACACTCAAATGAGGCTGGAGGAGTCTGGTTGGTTGAAAATTGGACATGATCAATTTCACCACTTAGGCAGGTGTGGTGCTGTGGTGTAGAAGTACACACCGCTCTGGGGAAATGTGGATGTGTGTGTGTGTGTTTGATAGACAGTCTCATCTCATTCATGCTTCTGTTTTTAACAGAATACCAGGGGGACTATTATGGACCAGGGAGTAATTATGACTTCTTCCCACATGGTCCTCCATCTTCACAGGCTCAGTCCCCGGCTGAGTCTCCCTACATCCTGGGCTCCGGACCTGGAGCCATGGAAGGATCAGGCCATCACCCCTCAGACGACCAAAGGTTTACGGACATGATATCTCACCCTGAAACCCCGAGTCCAGAGCCGGGTTTACCGAGCTCCCTGCAGCCCGTCCCTGGGGAGGCGTACAGCGGCGGGCCCAGCCCTCCGTTCTCCATGGCCAGTAATTCCAGCTACAGCGCTCCGATGTCCCATCAGGGCCAAGAGATGGGAGAAAGTACAGCCTGGTAAAGGGACAAACCACAGGGACTACTCCTGGCTGGACGTCAGCCTAGTTAATTCAGGAGATGAGATGGGGGAAGCCTACATTCGCAGAGCGGGAGGCACAGCTGGTGTTTGTACTGGAGGAGAGAGACGACGGACTGACGGACGGACACAGAGACGGGACGTAGAGTAGGATAGCCACTGGGTCTTTGTAGACGCTCCGAAGCATATCTCTCCAAGGATTACTGGACAACGATAAACCAACCCAGCAAAATGCTTCTCACCGTCCCCTTAATGTTAACAAAGGTGTCTTCTACTGCTCCAGGAATACATTAGGGAGAAATGCCAAAGGAGACATCTGAGGCTCACTTTCTGTTCTCACCACATTCTGTTCTTTTTTTTTTTCCTGTTCTCTCCAAACCTGCCTTTATTGCTAAGCAACCGACATACCCTCAATACTTGGTGAAACCAATGACCAGGTTTTTAATATACATGCTTTAATCCTCATTTGTGGCAATCAAGACAGGTTTGGTAAAAAAATAAATAAATAAATAAATTCATCTTTTGCTCTTTTTTTCCCCTTGTAAAACAGCATCACATCAAAAACTGCTGCTTGATGGAATATGTATTTTTTACCCCCCCCCGCACACACACACACACAGACACACACACACACGTCTAGTGTTATTCTCTTCTGCACAACTCAGCCTTTAATACTCAAAAAGTATTCTTGATCATAGCTTAAAGGAGGATGTCTAGAACATTATTCAAAACACGGACACAATTATGCACACACACACACACAGACACACACACACACACTATTCTCACACCCCTCTCACGCCCATCCAGGCGGCCCTGATAGTTCTGCTCCTCGCACTGCTTCACCTGACCTTCCTTTTGTTACTATCCCTTTTAAAAAACATGTTTTAATGGAAATGATTTTCAAAAGAACATTGAACCCATAATGGAGAATCTCCTTCAACAGCTGAGGTCTCCTTCCTCTAAAGAAGGAAAACAAAAGAGGGGGCAGACTACATCTGTGACATTACCAGTCTGCTCCGAAGCTCTCGTTGCCACCTAGTGGGCACATTTGAAAGACACTAAATCAACAATCCCCTTCTGCAGTCAGAGGGCCTCGGAGAATCTTATCAGTCCAAATCCAAAGCCTTCGCGTTTTTCTTTTCTACCACTTTCAAATGCTGCCAGTTCTACCCGTGCCAGAGTACCGGGAGAGTTTAGATGTGCGATAATACCGCGGTATTTTCCCTCCCCTGCTGTGACGACGCTGACGGATGGTCGGTATTATCTAAGACAAAGCTCATATACACAGTATGGTCACCTCTGTCCCACCCCGTTCATCCTGCAGTAGAAACAAACACATACACTCATACACACCCGCTGACCGAGCTCTGCTATACATTTGTTTTAAATTCATTTGAATTTTCTCCAGTCATCGTTAGAGCTCCAGAAAGAATGTTTCTTATTTCCGGTGTCGACACATTCTTGGGCCGTGCTAGAGTGTGTGTGTTTGTGTGTGTGAGTGAGTGAGTGTGTGACTGTACATAGGAGCGTGCTTGAACATTTACAGTGTGTGTGAGCGGGTATGCGTGTGCGTGTGTGTGTGCGCGCACATTAGTGCACACTGAAGGGATTGGGAGCAAGGCTGTATAATTTCTATGTAAATAGCACTGGTAATAAAACCTTCTCTTACAACCTAAAGACACGTGATCACTGCGTATTTATTCATGCCTGTTCGTAAATACGTACGAAAGTGCGTTATAAACGTGCACGTATTTAAAGTATGTACTGTTGATTTACTGAAGTCACCGATTATTCGGTGAATACTACTATTGAAAGATTAGTTACTCTTTTAAAAATATACTACTTTTTTACTACTATATACTTATCCATATTGTGGGTTCAAGTCCACCTAGTCATATATATATATATATATACTGTATATATACATATATTTATATATATATATACAGTATATAGGCAAAGCTATATATATATAGTTAGTTTTCAATAATGCAACTATATACCGTGGTCCCAAATACACAGGTATATGAAGTGTGAACGTGCTGTGAATTAAAATAAATAATAAGTCAATTGATACCTTTTATAATAATGCATTTCCAGGATAATGGGAAAAAATACATAAATTGTATTTCACCTAAGTGCCTTGAAAATCCATCTTAGCTTCACCCACACAGTTTGTCTAATTAATAACACAGTAACGATAAATGGTGTCCACGGCATTTCAGAAACGTTGGACAAATTATGAAAATAGTTGGAGTAAATGTATTCCCCCTATTAGGGAGGGTATATAATATCATAATCTTTAAATAAATCAAGTGTGAATTAAATGTAAAAGAATTAAACACTAGACAATGTTATGTCATATTTTGCTAAAGGGTCACAGCCGTTTATTGTATTGTTTTTTACAATGTGTTTGTGTTTAAGAAACATGTCGCATTAAATTACAGCATTGTTTGGAGTGAAATACTAGTCATTCAGATGCACAACAATCCTAATGGTAGATTTCCATCTGTCCATCAGTCCCTGCTGCTCTTCATCCTGCAGTCACTTTTGAAAATGATTTTGAAAACCACAGTTTTTAATGTAACTTAATAGAAATACATATATTTATATGTACATCAGTGTTTCCCAAACTGTTTTTTTGGCGACCCATATTTTAGAAGTCACAAACCTCCGCGATCCAAGTCAATAGTCATTATTCATAAACTCCTGGGAAACATGATGCAAGACGACCCAGAAAAAAACCCACGTGAGGGTCGCGACCCAGTCTTTGGGAAACAATGGTGTACATTGCCCAAAGGCCTGTGCACAGACGTAACAAACATCAAAAAAGTCGTGTACAGTATTAATGGAAATAGACCATGTTCAAGCTGCACCCACCGTTAAGGTCAGTGAATGATCAAATGGATCAGAAAACCAATATGGTGAACGGTGGAGTCGTAGGAAGCAATTAACAGAGCAACTGGCTCTCAAAAGGCAAGTGCTCTTTTATTAGGAAAAATACGCCTCGACTTTGTCTCTTGACATTTATACTGCCCGCTCAATCCACGTGTTCACGACAATGACACTCTTTTATTTTCGGTTTGTCAAATCCAAATAAAAGTCCCAGGTTTATTTCAAATTCAAGGAAGAAGTCATGAGATTAGCTCATCAGAACATCACTGTCATCAAACCTGCAGTAATTAATACACCAACACTGTCCCTTTAGTCCTCAACCTGTTTCCATGATTTTTACATACACATCAGGAGAAATCCCCATCTTGTGCCTTTGGGCAACCCTGGCCCTTGTCAGGTCCACCTGACCCCCAAACCCCCACATCCCCTTTTACCTCTTTTTTTACCCCCTCCTCCTCCTCCTCCCCCTCCTCCTCCTCCTCCTGTTGTGGGGCCAGGTGGGCAGAAGGTGGCTGGGGTCTGAGGTAATTTTCCCCCTGAATGGTTTTAATGTAAAGGATAATGTGAGCAGAGACAGGCAGAGACTACGAGTGTTAATATATATATATATATATATATATATA